TCTTCTCGATTCAGGGGGCCCCATTACTGTCTTTGCCTAGGGCCTCAAATTTCTTAAATCCACCCCTGACTCCTGTAAAGATATTTAGTTGCCCAATTGTTTTGTAATTGTTCTCTAAAGTCAGTGTTAGTTTATATTAATACCACAAATACAAGATTTTGTGAACAACTTGTCTTTCTGTTGGATCGTTAACCCCAAGCTGCCGTTGCATGAACAGCTTGTATGCAAGGATCAATCTGTTTTCTTATGTAAAGAAAGTATAAAATGAACTACATATTTTAACTGAGTCTTTTATAAAATACATAAGCTAACAATTACTTAAGAAACGCATTCAACACAGATTAAAATGTTATTTTATGTTGAAAATAAAACATCTATGTTCAGGCTTTGACCTTTTATCTTTGCTTTGGGTATTAAGGCCCTGTAGAGGATCACTGTCAGACATCATTACAGGATCATATTTTATTGTGAGGGCCAAAACAATTTCCTCTCAGGTTATTCATAGAAATAAAAAGGAAATGGCTCATCGTCAAGCTCTGACTGAAGTATTGGGTCAACTATGTCTTGCAAACATAAACACAGTTTTCTGGGTGCCTTACATCTTCGCATTCAACACAAGATGCAAATCGTCTGCATTAAATTAAAGGTGAATAGTGAAAATAAAGGCAGAACTTCTATGTTGATTTAACCACTTGAACCTGCAAACTGAGGTCTTGACCTTGTGCATTTGCTGAGATTCAAGTGAGCCGGCTACTGCTTCAGGAGCAAACACCAACAGCTGAGCGAGCAAAGCTCAGGTGGCAAAGGGGCTTACCGGGGGCAAAGCTAAAGTCATTTGATAGCAGGGTTGATTATAACTGATGCAGAAATAAATCATGTTTCCCCATAAACAGGAATAAAAGTATGACATATTTTAATGACATGCTATTGAAATATGAAGGCTGAATATAAATACTAAAGTAATGAATTCATGCAGTTTCATTAATTGTTCTTATTGGATTGAAGATTTATTTACTTACACCAGTGAGCTACTTTATCACACCCTCTATTGGCTCCATTTTTCTTTTAGAACTTCCTGTTTTATTCATAGAATACATCCAAAATGGTGTTTGAAACAATGCACGATGCATGAGTTCACCCCAATCTATCCTTGTGTGGCCTCATCCATCCATTTATTCATTTTCTAACACCCATCTCCAGTTGTCAATGGGTGAGAGGCAGGGTACACCCTGGACAGGTCGCCAGTCCATCGCAGGGCAACACAGAGACAAACAGGACAAACAACCACTCACGCACACACTCACACCTAAGGAGAATTTAGAGAATTAACCTAACAGTCAAGTTTTTGGACTGTGGGAGGAAGCCGGAGTACCCGGAGAGAACCCATGCATGCTCAGGGAGAACATGCAAACTCCATGCAGAAAGACCCCGGACGGGGATCGAACCCAGAACATTCTTGCCACTGAGCTTGTGTAGCCTCAGTTATACCTAAACAATGTACAGTGAGCATGAAAATAAATCTGTACTTCCCTTTACTCTTATTTTTAGTATTTAGTCTTCTTCCAAATGTCTTATTTGCCTGGTGTGCTTGTGTTGTAGCTCTGTAACTATGTAGCTCTAATAACCTGCTAAACAGGAAGAGAGATCATTAGAGATCATTTCGAGATATAGGCATGTCTACATTAGCAGGCTAGCAACGTGTTTTTGTGTGACCTGATTCCAAACGAGACCAGAATTCTGTTACTAATACAGTAACAGAGACCTGTATAAAGATAAAAATCGAATCCTCCTGAGTTTATGTGTGAATGATCAGAATTGTAATTCAAAGCATTAAACCCATCAATCTTTCTTCTCAGGTTTTGAACCTCTTCTTGGCCTTGCTACTCAGTTCATTCAGTGGAGACAACCTCTCAGCGGTGGATGACGACGGAGAGATGAACAATTTGCAGATTGCTATTGGGAGGATCTCACGAGGCATTGAGTGGTTAAAAGGATTTATCGTACAACGAATCCAGCATGTACTCGGTAAACGATTCAAGGACACTGATAAGGACATCATGGATGATGTCAAGAATAAAACTGAGGAAGTTGAAATGAACCATTTGGATTCCCGTCTGGCTTTTAAAGCCCCTGATGGGATATTAGATGACCCAGTGCAAAGCCAACCCACAGGATTCACTGTGGATGAAGATTTCACTTTGAACGTGCCAATTGCTGAAGGAGAATCTGATTATGAAAATCTGAGTGACGATTATGAGGATGATGAGGACGATACAGAAGATAGTGATCTTTCTGAGAGCTCACTGCAGAGAGACGATCAGGAAAACACAGTAAGACACAAGCAAATAATAATAATTACACTTTAATTTGAGGGATTTGTTTACAGACATGTCTTCTGATATCTTTTGTTTAGAAATTATTCCAGAAAACCCTAGAAGAAGAAACTAGTATTCCTGCGAAAATCAAAGTAAGAAGGTCTATATCAGTAACTCTGTTTATTATTGTTTTCAACTGGGGCCCAGATAGATACTAATGCAATTCTTTACTTTTTACCATAAATGAGCATGATGACGGGGATTCTTCAGTCTGCAGCACAGCTGACTATCAACCGCCGGAGCCTGAGCCTGAAAAAGAGGAGGAGGAAGAACCGGAACCACCGGAGCCAGAGGCGTGCTTCACTGACAGTATGACCAAACACTCATAAGAATATCTTAGTCAATAAATTTAAAATCATAACAGGCCACTTAATGAAAAATACCATGTTTTCTCCTATTCTTTAGACTGTGTGAGCAAATGGCCATGTCTGACTGTGGATATAACCAGTGGCAAAGGGAAAAAATGGTGGAATCTTAGAAAAACGTGTTTCAACATAGTGGAGCATGACTGGTTTGAAACCTTCATCATCTTCATGATCCTCCTCAGCAGCGGCGCTCTGGTGAGAGCAGTCATCCCACTATGTCATCCAGAAATCTTTATTTTTCCATAGAACATTCAGACGATGCTCTTTTTTTCTCACAGGCCTTTGAAGATATATACATAGAAAGACGACGAACCATTAAAATAATTCTTGAATATGCAGACAAGGTTTTCACCTACGTGTTTGTCATTGAGATGCTCCTTAAATGGGTTGCATACGGCTTCAAGGCCTATTTCACCAACGCTTGGTGTTGGTTAGACTTCTTCATCGTGGATGTAAGTCTATTTGGGAAGTTCCAAAGTTGGCTTACACAATTTGTAACAGAAAAAAATATATATAGTCAAGATTTACATCAGTTTAAGTCTATGCTAACCCCTGAATAGGAAATGTTTTTATTTGCTGGCAGGTTTCCTTGATTAGTTTAGTTGCAAACTGGATTGGCTACTCTGATCTTGGTCCGATCAAATCCCTGAGAACCCTCAGAGCGCTAAGGCCTCTTCGAGCGCTATCAAGATTTGAAGGAATGAGGGTATGCTCTTTCATTTTGAGTTTCAACGTTAACATTTAAATTGACTGAATGTCTAAAAATAACAAAACTTTGCTATATTGACTGCACTGTTGTAGGACACTGATTGGTTGCCCCCTTTTTTTGCTTTTTAATAGCTTACTAACAACAAGGCTGTTTGCTGTAGTAGTAAAAACTAATTTGAGGTTAGTTCAAAACAACTTCAAAGATTTGTTTCTTTGTCTTAACAACAAAATTGCTGTTTTAATTATTGACATGTCTGTATAGTTTACATAAGGTATTTCTTTTGTGCAGGTAGTGGTTAATGCTCTGGTTGGAGCGATTCCCTCCATCTTCAATGTACTCCTGGTGTGTCTGATTTTCTGGCTCATCTTCAGCATTATGGGGGTTAATTTGTTTGCGGGGAAGTTCTATCGATGCATCAACACGACCACAGAGGAGCTTTTCCCTATATCTGAGGTCAACAATCGAAGTGAGTGCTTGGCCCTTCAAGAAGCCACACAAGAAGCTCGCTGGGTTAACGTCAAAATTAACTATGACAATGTTGGCACGGGCTACCTCTCCCTGCTTCAAGTGGTGAGGATTTTTTTTTTTGTTTGTCTTGATTTTTTGGGGCCAAATGTTTTAAGATTATTCTGTCTGATTCCAGGCAACTTTTAAAGGGTGGATGGACATAATGTATGCTGCTGTTGACTCAAGAGAGGTATTAACCTTCATTGTTATGTGTACATTGGTATTACGAAAAAACACTACAGCTTTTTAACAATGCATCCTTAGTTCAGGGTCAAACTGAACTTTTATCCTGCATGTGATATCTCTGAACCTAGTTTAAGTCCTTTTTTTTTTTTCAATATTTTCTCCCTTCAAAAATAATTTTCTAATTTTATATAATATCTTTACTCTGAAATGCAAACTTGAATGTTGCACTCAGAATCCGCCCTGATCAACAGGCCATATTCTGCCGTGATAAGTCTCATTTTGCACCACAGACTTTGTATTTTCCTTTGGTTATTATGTAGTTTGTAGTTTGGTGTTGGTTTGATTCTTAGCGCCATTCAGTGAATAGTACACAGTTTGCATTATCCAAAGAGGGAACCCCTCCTGCACTAAATTAATTAGCCATTATGTCGCTCAATCACAAAATTAATTTTTAGAGAATGATAATTAATTTTATAGTTGATTTTATGTTAAAAAAAAAAACACATTTCTATACATATCAAAACATATAAGATAAGACTATTACATTTACCTTAAAAATTGATTGAGAATTATTGATACCCACTCATTTAGCCTAGTAAATGTGTGTCATTTATGGTGAGATCTCAAGCAAAACACAGACAGCAGAAAAAAAAACATCTGCATAATACTCTTACAGGTGTTTGTGTTTCAAGCCTAAGCTTTTACATTTTTTTTCTATTTAGGTTGAGGAGCAACCATCTTATGAAATCAACCTTTACATGTACATCTATTTTGTCATCTTCATCATTTTTGGTTCTTTCTTCACCCTAAATCTTTTCATCGGTGTCATCATTGACAATTTCAACCAACAAAAGAAAAAGATAAGTACTTTCATTAAAGGAGTTTGTGCTAGAGTTTGTACGATTTATTTGAAAAATCTGTTATTGTTTTGTTCTATGTCTGCAATTTGGAGATGAAGACATTTTTATGACAGATGAACAGAAAAAATACTACGAGGCCATGAAGAAACTCGGTTCAAAGAAGCCACAGAAGCCAATTCCACGACCAAAGGCAAGTAAGAGCTGCAGGGTCATTGCTCAGACATGAGCAATCAATTAATATCATAGGCCATGGTTAGTTCAGTTCTTTTTCATGTGCAGACCCAAGCATGGCCAGCAGGTGTCACTGTGTAATATTAAGAGATAACAACTGCCAGGAGGATAATACATTATGGAAATTGAGCTTTAAGAGACTAAAAACAAAAGTACATGAGGAAACTGCAGTCCAAAACGTTTAGACTGAACTTAGTGGGTGCAACCAGCAGATATAATTGCAAAAGGCTTTCAATCTCTTTTTTTACAAGCAGGAGTATTTTTTTGTGAACAAGTGATCTTTTTCTATGTGATGGCAGAGATCTGATAGAGGAAAATACAGTCTAAAGCAATTTTTATACCACAGAGATTTGTATGCTATACAAAGATGATCTGCAATGTTTTCAACCACCCATACAAACATGTTTGGTAAAAGATCAAATCAGACATTTTTTTAAGTTGATTGAAAATATAAAAAATGATGAATGTTACAATCTGAATTAGATAACAAAAAGAAAACCATTTGTTTTTCATCATCTGACCTTCTTTTTACTGACTGTTTCCTTTCAACTTTGAATTAAGCTGTAGATTTAGACAGATGATGATGTGGATCAGTGGCTAAAAAGATGTAAGATGCAACATTAAGTTAAATCATACAAGTAAACAGAACTCCATTCCCATAATATTGTTGATTATGCTTGAATTTAATAAGAGTTGGGAAGTGTTAAATAAAAATATGCTTTATAACTCTAAATAATTGAGTCCATGAGGAAGCGTTAACCATTTGAAGGTCATTGTGAGCTCATTGGCAGACTTATTTGGCAGTGGGTATGGTCACATAACACCATAAGCAAGGTTGCTGTCAGAGTTAATCAAATATATTCATCCATCTTCTCTCACTTACCTAACTTAGACAGGTTGCCAGGGAAACACAAAGACATACAACCATCCACACACAACTGGACCATTTAGAGATGACAGTTAACAGTCATGTTTTTGGACAAGCCGACTAACCCTCTCTATCTCTCTCTAACTTTGCAGAACCCGGTCCAGGGCATGGTGTTTGATTTCATCAGTCAACAGGTCTTTGACATCTTCATCATGGTTTTAATCTGCCTCAATATGGTGACCATGATGGTAGAAACAGACGACCAAAGCCCGGAGAAAGAGGATTTCCTCTTTAAGTTAAACGTTGCCTTCATCGTTGTCTTCACCGGAGAGTGTGTGTTGAAGCTCTTCGCGCTGAGGCAGTACTTCTTCACCAATGGATGGAATGTTTTTGATTTCATCGTGGTCATTTTGTCAATAGCAGGTGGGCAAGATATGTTAATTGCTTTCACTCTAAACATATCCAGAACCAGCATGTTATAATTAATGTTCTCTTCCTTTTCAGGTACAATGCTGTCAGACTTAATTGAGAAGTACTTTGTTTCCCCTACGCTCTTCAGAGTGATCAGACTAGCCAGGATTGGCAGGATTCTGCGCCTTATTAAAGGAGCTAAGGGTATCCGGACGCTTCTTTTTGCCCTAATGATGTCCCTTCCTGCATTGTTTAACATCGGCCTTCTTCTTTTCCTGATTATGTTCATCTTCTCTATATTTGGCATGTCAAATTTTGCCTATGTCAAGAAAGAAGCTGGAATTGATGATATTTTCAACTTTGAGACTTTTGGCGGCAGCATCATCTGCTTGTTTCAGATTACGACATCTGCTGGCTGGGATGGGCTTATGCTTCCGATTTTGAACAGGGAACCTCCAGACTGCGACCCTGAATTTGAGAATCCAGGGACGGACGTAAAGGGGAACTGTGGAAACCCGGGGATGGGGATGATGTTCTTCTGCAGCTACATCATCATTTCATTCTTGGTGGTGGTCAACATGTACATTGCCATCATCTTGGAGAACTTCAATGTGGCTCAAGAAGAGAGCGGTGACCCACTTTGTGAGGAGGACTTTGAGATGTTCAACGAAACTTGGGAGAAATTTGACTTGGATGGAACGATGTTTATTGAGTACAGCCAGCTTTCAGATTTTTGTGATACTTTGCAGGAGCCTCTCAGGGTGGCCAAGCCCAACCGGCATCATCTGATTAAAATGGATCTGCCCCTGGTTATTGGGGACAGGATCCACTGCTTGGATGTATTGATGGCTGTCACACAGATGGTATTGGGAGATACGGTGGAGATGGCAGCAATGCGAGAAAGCATTGAGGCCAAGTTCGTCCTGAGCAACCCCACGAAGGACTCCTTTGCACCAATTACCACAACAGTACGGCACAAGGAAGAGCAACATGCGGCTGTCGTTCTTCAACGAGCTTACCGCAAATACCTTCTGAAGCGCTGCATATGCCATGCTGCTTTTATGCACAGATTGAAAAGGATTGGTAGAAACAACAAAGGTGAGGATCCTCCAGAGAAAGAAGGGTTGCTTGCACGTAGGCTGGGGGTTTTCTATGGAAGTAATACAGACCTTGCTGATGAAATGGAGCAAGAGGTTTTACTAACTGCAGCAAGCCAAGAACTCTTTAACACAAACTGCAAAGAGGTCCAGTGTGGTCAGGAGCCTCATGTGCAGAATGTGATTGTTGTTCCTGTTGAAATTACCAATGCAGTGTTATAACATTCTGCCCCATTTATTAGATATCTGAGAGCACCACCTGTTTGATAAACTGCTTAGATATTTTTTTCCTCTTGGTGTATCTTTACCTGGAAATAAACCCCCTTATATTTCAACAAGTGTTTACAGATTTCCCACTTTAAACATACAAAGTGTCCAAACCTTTCTTTTCTGTCAGCCACGTAAAAGATTAAAGGCATGGCCATTAAAGGCGCGTTTTAATTAAAGTTAAAGTCTGAGCTAAAGTTTCTTTTGATACTGATTATTAAAGAAGATATGAGATCATTTAAAAATGATATCCAAAAATTCCCAAAAAAAAGCAATCAACAATATGCAGCAAAATCTCCTTTTAGAGTAATACAAGTCTGGACCATGAGTCTCCCATTTAACTTTACCAAATAATTCAATAATGTATAGAAAGCTGTTGTGTCTAAATGATGAGTTATTGCCCTATTGGAAGTGGCGGTTACTGTCAATAATCCAGATGCCTGCTGATATAATCTTTGTGCAACATTTTCCATAAAACATTAAGTGTAGAGGGGAGGACGTTCCTTTTCCAGGTGGATCATCAAAATAAGTGGTCCTCCTAATTGTCAATCATTCTGGTGACATGTTTATGTAAGTAAAGCATTGTGGTTAATTCTGTTTTTATTCTTCAGCTCCTTATACAATAACCTTATTTACTATATATAAATACTTCAAAAATTTTGGGTCCTTTCATATTACCTACCTGCTATTTTAAAAAGTCTATTTCTATCAGTAAGGACCGTACTTTTGGAACTGATGTGAATAAAGGGCTTAGAAGCACCTCATAACATCGTTCTGTCAGGTCTAAAAGCAAACAAGGTGAAAGTCATTGCCTTGGTCACTCCATTTTTCTTGGTAGTTAGAACCTGGACTGGGAAAATGGCCCTATCAAATCAAATTGAGGTGGCTCTGAGTCATTGGAGAACGTGGGTTGTGAATTTAAGGCCCCGTCCACACGAAGTCAAAACGAACACGAAACGCTGATAT